GTTTAATCAATCATATACTAATTTTGATAATATTTATATAGCTGATGGTGGACTTATAATTGTTACAGATACATTTATAACACGTCTTATTATGAAAGCATAATTAACATGTACACTTGAATCAGATTGTTTAATAACATATCAATCACAAGCAAAATGTAATGGAACTTCTTCTGATAAACATCGTTATGATGAAAGTACAATAGTTATTATTTTATCATATTTTTTCTTTTAAGGTAATAAAGAAGCATGGGGTGATAAAAAATTTAATGATCCAGCTCCATATGATATGTTTATAAACAAATTTGGGTGATATTATTTGTCGAGTTATTGAACAATACCATTTATCGGAGAAAAAAAAATCTTAAAACGCGCAGAAATATTTTTTTTGTCTTTTTGTAATAGAAAAAAAATCTCTCAAGTTTATTTTGTTTTTTATATTAGATGACTGTTCTATTGTTTTTTATCATTTTCTTTAATATAAATACATTTTATCAAGTATGAAAAGAAAATTTTTTTCTTCTTTTATATTCTCTAACAAATAGATTTATAAATGTATTAAAGTATTTAGTTTATGGAAAAAACTTATCATTATTTAATGATTATTGTGATGAAAAAATAAAATGTACTTTACCAAATATGATTTGTAAAGAAAATAAATGTAAATGTATAATAACAAGAACACAAGTTTATTTTTGGACTGGAAAACGATGTATTGAATGTATTCAAGGTTGGACTTCTTTTTCTGGTAAGAATAAATATACTTCAATCATAGAATTATTTTTTTCAACAATTAAAAATCAATAAACATATATAAAAACATAGATAACTCTATTAAGTTCTCTTATATAGATAAACAATAGACATTTTCTACAATTAGTAGTTAAACAATATGTGTATGATACATCAACTTGACTTATAATCAATTCTTTATTATATCAAATACAATAAATATTGACGGAATTTTCTTGTCGAAAATAAAAATCATTTTATTCATCTTTTATATATGTAGTTCTATAGAGATAAAGTTGAAAGTTTTGTTATCTAAATGTAATATGTTACGCATCTGATAAACTTTCAAATGGATTTATGTAACATCTAAAATATAATTAGTATATTTCATACAAAAGAAAAACTTTAAGAGTCAAGTTTTTGAATAAGAAATTATAGATTTTCAAATATGACATAACATATGAATGATTGAATCATAATATATTGTTCTCTTGTTCTTCAATTCTCATTAGATTTCAGATGAATCGAGTTTTATAATTATCTTAATATACAAAAGCCAAAAAGAAATCATTTTGAGCAAATTTCCGATGAGGTTAATGATGAACAAAGGACAAAAAAAATCAATTGTTACGCATTGTTTTTACAGATTTGTTAAATTCAGCTAACAAAGAAAGTCTCTCAATTGATTAATCACTTTTGAATCAAAACTATGTGTATCATGTATATTCTAATGAGCTATGAATATCTTGAAAAGAACTCGAACCCTCGGTTTATTTCTATGTAGACACTGTATTTCTACAGTATTTTTCACCTCAATACTGTGGTCCTCGTTAGGAATACCAGGAAAACTCATTTTCGAATTTCAACTTGAAATTATACACAGAAGCAGATCTTTGTGAGAATAGTTTGTTGTGAAATTTTCATATGTTTTGATGTGCTCTTATTCTAAAATAAGAAAATAGAATCTGCTGATGTATATAAGCGATATACAAGACAAACTTTCATCATAGTTGTATCTTAGGATAAAAACAACGAAAAAATCTAAAACTCTCACAATACACTGTTTTTACTAAGACCTTCCTCTGTGTAGAATTTCAAATTGCAATTCGAAAATAAGTTTTTCTCGTATTCCTAAGAGGGACTACAGTATTGAATGAAAACACACCATAAAAATACGGTATGTTTGCAGCAATAAACTAAGAGTTCGAAGTTTTTTCAGAATATTTATAGCGCATCAGGGTAGACATGATGCACATAGTTCCGACACAGAAGCGGTTAACCAACCTGAGGACTTGCTACCGTGAAACAAGTCATATTGATGCTAATTTTTTTTCTCGCTACCACTGGTTGATATCTCTTAATCATTTTTTTCTCTATTTGCATTCAAACAGATCAAGAATTTAAAATAGATTTTGGATCTAGAATGTTTGTTTTTTTTTATTATTGAATATATTTAGGTACTCGTTGTTTGCAGTTTTTTAATGAAAGGAAAACTTGGTTTGATGCTCATGTTCATTGTCATAAATATAATGCAGATCTGGTTGATATTGATAATTGGCCATCGTCTACATTTGTCTTCGTTGAAAATATAACTAATTCATATGTTAAATCAGAAGATACTTTAATTAATATATGGGCAACAGCTAATTCGAATTTATTTGACAATGATGAATCAAGTTGGTTTACAGAATTTACTTTTCAATATTTATATACCTGGTTTATACAATTATTTTTTATCTAGTATTTACTGATCGTTGGTTCAATTATCTTTCTTCAGATATTGTAAAAATATTTTGTGTATGGTTGATCAAACAATCAAAGACAAATGTAACCAATAAGAGTAATTATAAGCTTCCGAATGAACATAACAAATCTGAAATATGTGTACAATGGATACCTTGGAATGTGCATGGAAACTATCGTTGCCGTATTGATTCTAACACAAAATGTTTATTAACAAATCGATTTATTTGTGAAATAAGTTAATCATTTGAAAAGAATTTTATTTATATAAAAAACTAAAACTATTTCATTTAGCTGAATTCAGTTTAACACATATTAAAATATCAATCAGTAAGTTTGTAAAACAAAAGATTATATACATTTGTTTGTGCAAATATTTTATTAGATTCTTTATTAATTCAATTCCCATCAATGAGAGATATATTTGAGGATTTGTTTTTCTATCGATTGAATTTAATCGAGATCAAACTAATGTTGTTCCATTACTTTTGCTAAGAAAATAATAAAAACAAAACTTTTCCTATTGAGATTTGAATAAATCCTACTTTCGTAGCATTTTTGTCTTTGAATAAAATCATGTTCTTACCAACATTTTCATTTAATTTAAACTTAAGCAGATAAAGGACACTCTATCAACTTATAAATCAAAGCGATAGGCATTAGATCATTGATAGATTGCTCATAAGAGTTTATTTGAAATTTATCATACATTGGGTATGATTATAGAGGAAAACTTACAGGAGAAAGATTTGATGAACTTATATTTAATATGAATATTCAGATTCCAAAAGGTATATTTCTCAAGTTTTATATTCTATTTCCAGTCATTAACCATTTGATTAAGTTCTTGATTTTATACTGTGACATTTGCAGAAAACTAAATTACCAAATATTGTCCATAGAGAGGTTTCAGATCGTTAAGAAGAGGTTAACATTCAAGTCCAAAGCAAAAAACTGTATGCATTAGATTGAATATCTTCAACATTCAATATCTATTTTGAGCTTTGAGAATATCTGTGATCAAAATTTTCGATACAATTCTGTATTTCAACCATTCATATAAATATCTTAACAAACTCGAAATTCCAATAAAAAAATAGCCAATTTAGGCTACTTTTAGTGTTTTCGAGCACTATAAATCGATATAAATCAAATTGATAACATTGTGTAATAATCAGAGCTGTCGTTTATTAATATCATATTAAGAAAATTTTACTTCAATTTCAACTACACTTACATAATTCTTTTAGATCATTTTAAAAAAATGTCTTTTTTTTTCTTTCTGTTAGATACAACTACTACTCAAAGTACAAATCCATTAATAATTGGTTCTATTTCAATTATGATTTCTATTATTCTTTTTGTTCTTCTCATACTATACAGTATGCGAATAGAACCTTCAAAAACTTCTATTGATCATGATGATGATAATTCATATCAATTAAATTCATCTGAAAGTTTTTAATTTAATATTTCTGTAGAGAATTGTTTTTTTTTTTCTTCAAATGGCAAAATCATTTCCACAAATCACAAAAGAAAGTCATATATTTTATAAATACTTTTTTCTCCATATTGTTGATAATGAATGTAAGACAAAAAATTCAAATAAACAGTAAAACTAATATTTATGCAGTATCTATGCGAAACAAAGAAAACTTTTTCTTAGATATTTTCTGTTCATAATAATAATCACCATCAACACATACACGCGAAAAAAGAGACCAACGAAATAGTATTGTCTTTAAATTAACTACATTTCATTTGCAATTTTCGAATCAAGTATCATTGATTTTGTTTTGATATCATCGATTGAAACATTTTCAACAAAATCACTATCATATTCTTGTTCATGATTACCATCAAAATCAAATGTATGTGATGCATATTCAAAAGAAGATAGATTTTTCTGGGGATATTATCATGTCACATCTGTCCAAACTCGAAAAATAACAAATAATTCTTCTAAATTTTCTTAAAGATTCGTTATGTACATTGTTTACATTATATATAGAATCAAAAAGAAAAAATTCACTTATCTCTGTACAAATAATAAAACGAATAGCTTACATCAACTCCAAAAAAACATAAAAAGAACTTCGTTTGATTATACACTTAAAGTAGCTTAAGGTAGGACTGATCCGAGGCAGCTAACATTGAGAGAATGTCAAGATCTTTTTCTAAGAGAAGGCACAAAAAATTTTCGATTCCATATGGAAAAAACAAAGTTTTCTCTATTGGGAAAGCGAGTGTCACATCCTCGACAAGTTCTCAATCGGACCACTCCTAGCTTTAAGATTAACAACTTTATTTATACATCTCAATTTTTGTATTAATCTTTTGACTTAGATTTTGTACATCTTAAAAAATAAAATCAAGTAGAAAAGAAAACTAAATCTTCTTCTTTCTAATATTTAACAACTGACACATTATGTAACTAAACTATAACGTTGATTAACACATTGTTTGACATAATTATAAACACTATCTGATGTATTATTAAGTATAACAATTGCTAATTGTCATTTATCTTTATTAGCATTATTTAATGTTATTTCTATATCATCTTTATTAGCTGATTTAGCTATTGTTATTGATTTAGATTTTACTGTTACATCGTAACTTTGTAATAACTAAAGAAGACAAAAATTTATTTTGAAGAAAAAAAAACTGAATTTTATTAGTAAAAAATGAGTTTCAAAATCTTTAAGTGTTTGAATAATATTTTCATTTAGTTTTGAACGAAATAAATTAATGCCCATTTTATCGGTTAAAAAGATAATTTTACTTTTCTTTATCTTAAAAGAGAAGGAAATTTTTCGTTTTAGCGAGAATTTCTCCATTTCTCTCGACAACATCCATAAAAACATTTTTATCAAAATTAGATTTGAACGAATTCACAATTCTCTCTTTTTTCTATTTATATAAAAAAATAGTTACATTGGGCTCTTGACATACTACAATAATGTCTTGGGACTTAGAAAAATTGATAGAAAACTAATGTTTTGCAATAAGTTGCGCTCAAGGCGATATAATGTATGATTCAATTTTTGATAAGATTTTAAAAACTTGCGTGATGATAGAGAACGATCTTATGTGTTGTACGACAATTGAAATTTTCGAATGGTTATAGAATTGTTTGATAGTTTTTTCAAGATCACAAGAATATCGATGCCTTCTAGAAATGTATCAGTGTCGGTTTACTGATCACGAGCATAGTAACACTGACTTTAATTTATAGTCAGAACAAGGTCAAATTCTTAATTCTTCATATTTTAGGTATTTTCTATTAAATCACAGAAGTATTTATTTCACTACTTAACACTGCTATGTAAAAATAGAATGATAAACGACAGATATTTTGATCGAATCAGTATCTCAATATTTCACTATCAATGTGTATCAGTATCCTTAAAGCTTTCTGAAATCTCAGTACCAGTATTTCAATATTAACATTGATATATCCTAGTACTGCTGCTGCTAATGTTTCTCTTCAGACATTTTTTGAAATACTATGTATCAACCAACATTCGTTTGACAATTTCCTAAAATAAATACATCTGTAATTAACGAATTTCATGTGAACTATTTTAGTATATATATCAAACATGGTTAAGAAAGTATTTTTGAACAATTTTTCATATTGTACCATCAGATTTAACTGCTAGAATATTGTATAGTTGATGATTAACACATAAAGATCTATGCATTTCTGTGATCAATCCAATTCATAAATTATCATATAGCGTTTTTAATTTTTTTTTTCTAGGATTCATAAGCTTAATATGTACAAATGAATCACTACATCAGTATATACTATAGATTATTAAAAATTTAACTGTTAATATTAACAGATCACATGATCTTGATCAAGTGTTTATATCAAAGATTTAAACGGTGACTGATCAATATCAGTGCTATGCGTTTTTTTTAAATATAGAATAAAAGAACAAACAAAGAAAAAGGACAGCGTGTCTACAAGATATGTTACTTTTTCGAATCAAAAAAAAAAATGTACAGTCAGTAGTCTTGCTTTAAATGAGAATGTTTTCATTATGCAGGTCAATCATAAAATGACTAGGCGTTTTTTTTTAGGCGAATAGAATCTATGTAAGATTATTTATTGATTTATTTTTCTCTATCCCATTCCAAGTGGTGATGCAGGTTGTGTTTGTTGTGGAACAACAGAACCCGATGCTTGTTGTTGAGAATTAGCTGTATTTGGTGCTACTGGTGATTCAAGATTAAGTAATAATTGTGATAACCATTTTTTAGTTGATTGATCTTCTTTAAGAACAGCATCCTAAATTTTACAAAAAAAAAAAAAAAGAAAATAATTCATTTTAATTATTTTTTTTTTAAATTATTTTAAATACATACAAATGTATGATCTTTAAGACAATCAGGAAGACATGATCGAAGAGCTTCACGTGCTCTTGCATTATCCGATAAACGTAAATAACAACGAATTATATGTTTTAATAAACGACCACTAGCTTCTTTTTGCTACAGGAGGATAAAAAAAAAACAAAAAAAAACAAGCACATAAAAATCAATCAAAAGCAAATATTTTATTTTTTTGACAAACCTGTTGAAGAACCATCCGTCCTAAAACCATAGCTACATGTGAAAATCGATCAAATGTTTGACATATATAATTTAAACCACAATCATCAGCAAGAATTTTTTGTAAAATAAATGTTGCAACTGTTTTAGATAATTCACTACCTGATTGCATTATACGTAATGATAATGGTATTATTTCAGTTGTTAATAAAAAATTAATAACTTCAGTTTCATCTGTTTTAACAAGTGCACCAATAACACCTAATGATGTTAAACGTAAATATTCAAATGGTCGTGTTGATGATTTTGTATTTAAAAATGGATAAAGAAATAATGGAATATTTGCCTGAATAAATAATGTACGAGTTTCAGGATGAGATGCTATACATTGAAGTAATGCTAATGCATTACAAACACGATTAGATTGTTGAGCTGTTAATGTTGGAGGTGTTATATATGGATAGACCGAACTAATAATTTAAAACAAAAACAAAAACAAAAATAAATTAAAAATTTTGATTACAAATATATGTACACAGCAAATAACTTACATAACTTCATGTAAAAGTACAGCAACTGAACCAAATGAATGCCAAAGTAAAACTGCTAAATCGACAACTTTTTCTCGTTTACGACTTAATTCCATTAAGGCATTTTCACGTGTATTTGATGATAATAATTCAGTTATCCAACAAGCAATACGTTCAGGAGAAACGGGAGCATCATTAGAAGGATTATTTGAACCAGATAATTGTTGTTGTTGACCTGAATTTGTACTTGAACTATTTGATGTTTGACCACTTGCTCCAGCAGATGGAGGACCACTACCGCCACTATTTACTGTAGCCGTAGGATTAGGAGATGGAGTTGATGATGTTGATGGTGCCATATTCATGATTAAAAGATACAAAATCTAAAATAAATTCTATATAATTTGTCTAGAACGTACGTACTAGTACTTTTTTTTTGTCTTCTTGTCCTCTGTATGATTTTGTTTTATATTGATTTGTTCGTTGATCTATCTGTCTGATTGTTTTTCTAATAACATTATCCAACTCACTGGCTGTTTTATATACCAATTAAACAAAAAGAATTTAATGACATCTGTTGAAAGACATAAGATGCATTCATGATTTAAAGTCAATGGAAAAGCAGTCACATTAAAGTATTCATTCATTGATTTATATCTGTTCTGTACGTATAGACACATGTCGAAAATAGTGTTGGATCTAGTACAAGGGATGAATAGCGAAATCCTAGAATTCTATGAGTTCCCTATGATATATTAAAAAATTCTATGGAATTCTATAGAATCCAGCATTCAGGATTCTCTTGGATTCCATTAAATTCCGTTGGATTCCGCCATTTACCTATTGATCTAATAACACGATGTTCCGACGATCGTCATCCTCTCACGAATAGAAATAATACAGAAGTCTTATACAGAGTATCATTTCCAAATGTTTGCTCAAAAGACTTTAAATTTTTAAAATCGAGTAAGTAGTGCAGAGATGTCAATGGCTGTTGTTTAAGTATGACTTCAATATTTGGTAAAACTCTGCTAAGGAATAACTACTGGTTGAGAAGGACCATTAGTCATTACTTCCGTTATTTGATGATTAATTCAAAAATAAACAAACATTTGAAATTCTCTTGATAAAATAGTATTGAAGCTTCTAGTTGAACAACGACAAACAAAGCGTTTGTCTGCAGGTTTTGAAGAAAGATCTAATCATTCTACTAAATACTGTTTGAAAAACTCTGAAGATATGCTAGTGAAAGTTTTTAGCAAAAATCAAGCGAGTTCAGAGAGCAATAATATTAGAAAAAAGCATGATGAATTAGCTTTGATGTCTATTTAAACAGATTTAGATATAACACTGATTCTGTTATTGATGAGTTTTCAAAATTTAATTATTTGAGTTCTATTGCTTACTGTTTTTGTTTTAACAAAAGCTATTTGTTCATGAATTTGTGGATTTTATGCATAAAAAAATGCCATAAAGAATCGTAAGTATGCGAACAGACTACTTAACTGGCTAAAACAAATTACATTCTTCCAGAAAGTCTTGAAAATAAACAAAGTTTCCGATAACTAATTAATAAATTGATTCAATTGATAACAAATGATAAATAATCACCCATGTTATATAGAACGATTCATAGACAGCTTGGAAAACAGCTGTTGTTAGGATAATCGTTTACAATGCTGTGTAAAATGGAAAACTACGACAATAAACGATATCTTTTACGATCATGGTTTTTGTATTTTCATACTGTTTTACATCGAATTTAAGTAATGTCTTAAAATCACCATTAGCCAAACTTTGACGACCTATACTCCATGAACCTTGATAAGTTTATGTATCATTGCTAAGTAGATCATGTTCAAAGTACTTTCCTGAAATTGAAATACAAATTTTTTTTTCTTTAACAGTGTTTCTTTTTTTTAATGTAAAGCACCAATTAACTTTTTTGAGATATTTCATGCATCAATCGATAGACTCTATTGATATCCATTCGACAGAAATGATCGCCTTTAAAAATAAAAACTTAAAAGTCTCTTCTTTCAAATATAATAAAAACTATTCAATTAGTCTTTATAAGCAATGGAGTGATACGTATTTAAAATGTAATCATCAGACTTGGAACATCCTATATATTCACTTCGTCTTTAATATCTTTTTCATATTCAGTAGAACCTGAGTCATCCCACATTCAGATTGAAATAATCACAACCAAAAATTTTTTACAGTTGTTTCCTTTCTTTCAAACGACTATATATGTCAATTTCTGCAATACACACTAACATCGGACACTCTTTTCTGCATTACATGCTATATGTATAATTTTAATGCAAAAACAATTTTGTATATACACATTAACATGGATGCTTTTCCAACTCTACACTTTATACACTATTTGGTCTAATTCACAGGGCACATAGAGAGTCTAGATATTAGGATGTTTCTGATCAGGAGAAGTGCTCTTAACATAAGTAGAATCCAATAATGTCCCTTGTTCAATGAGTACATAAAATAATTTATTATCAAAGTTTCTTGTAAACTACTCTCCGAAATAGAAGACTTCTCTCTCAGTATTAGAAGGTTCAAGTGTCTGTGCATAAAAAAATGTTTTTCAAGACGTCAAATACTTATGATTAAGGATAATCTCTAGAAATCTTTTTCATTTTTCATCGATATCTGAGATTATACTGCCGTTTTGTCTGGCAACAGGTATTTAAACATCACTACATATTAACAAATTAATATTTCTTCTGCTCATAATATTACATCATGTAGGTATATATGTCTTCTGTTCGTGCAGTTAAATATTCCCTATTTAATTAAGGCATCAGATTTAACTGTTTTTAAATGATTCCAACAAGATAAAATCAATTCTAGGCAATTGAATCTTAAGATTTCGTAATTTCATCTTTAAAAAATATTTAAACTAAACATAATATCTCTAAGAGTGTCGTATTCATTTAACTTCAGTAATGATATTTATTAAAATTCGTTCATATTTCTAATAGTATTTCTTTCTCTGCAGATACATTCTCATACAAACATGATACATGAAAACAACAACAAAAAAAAAGAAGGAAGACACAACCAAAATCATTACTGAATAAAATATTGAAAAGATACCAAGAATAATGAAAACATAAGTCATTTATTTATATGAGATTAAACAAAAGAAAGTTTTTTTTTTATGAACTATGAATACCAATTTGATCTAAAACTCCAATATCTTTAAACCAAGCAATAAGTTCATTAAAATTAATACTTCCATCATGTCCACGATCAATTTCTTCAAATTGACATGCTTGATGTTCATGTTCATCAATAATATGATGACGTATTAAATCTTTACGCATTTTTTCAAATTCTTTTTTATTTAATCTACCATGATTATGTTTATCATATGAACGAAATACTTCAGCTATATAACATATTAATTGTGTTTGATATGCATTTGGCATTCGTATATGTTCAAAACGTGATGATGTTTTCCACCAATCAGCAAATTCTTTATAATCAATTTTACCATTTCCATCTTTATCAATTAATGTACATGCCCATTCAAGTTCATCATTTGATAAATAATAACCCATATCATAACAAAGTGAACGTAATTCATCACGTGATATTGTTCCTAGAGAAAATTATTTTTTTTGTTTTTAATTATTTTTTTGTTTGTTTGTTAACACATACCATTTTTATCTTTATCATATTTATTAAACATTAATTCAGATACTGGTTTTGTAGCACCACCAAATGCCATACAACTTGGTGGAAGTATTATTCGTGGACGTTTATTAATTACGTTCATTTTTCACTAGAGAGCAATGAATATATGTATATATGTTACAATCAAAATTGGAATTCGGTCAAATTCTGAATTTGTCCGAACGAAATTAGAATTAAATTAGAAATAATTTGACACATTTCTATAGGACGAAAAAAAAAATTTCAAGAAAGATAGCGAACTATTCTGTGCTACGGAGCATAACAAAAGAAATGTGTAGAATATTTTAGAGATATCCGATTGTATCATATAACAATTTATATAGGCTTGTGTTGGTTACAGTGTCAAGTAAAAAAAAAACTTATCAACTTTAAAAAGGACAACTATGTATATAGATAATAGTTAGAAGCTATTTTTTTTTCGAGAAATTCGATAAATATATAATCTCGTTGAGTGGTAAATGACGGAGTTGAATTAGCTAGCAAAATTGGCTCTATTGGAAAGCTCAAACAAAGCATTACTTATCATATGTAAGTTGAAAGGTGATAAGGTGCACTCTTTTAAGATATCATTTTATCCTTATCTACGATGGAGTGTTACACTGATACAACGATATACACATTGGAATTCTAATTTTGTCTAAAGACAGTTTGGTCAAGATTCGAATTCTATTTTTGTCCGGACAAATTCAGAATTTGACCGAATTCTAATATTGACCGTAACATACATATATAAAGCACGATATACATCATCCATTCTTTCTATTCTTTTGTTCTCGATTCGATCAATCCACATGCACTTTTCGTTGGTTGGTCAATATTGACTAGGGAAAAAAAAACTTGGACAAATAATAATAGGAACGAAGATGTATGTGTACATTGCTTGTTCGTACGTGCTTGAATCAATCAGTAAACGAGATAAGATGAGAAGATTCATGATAACAATAGAAGACTAAAAGAATGTAAATTTTCCGATTATTGATGAAAAGTTTTCAGTCAATATGATGTATGAAATATTTCATTTAAGATTATTGTCACGATAAAACTTTTGAAAAAAAAATCTAATCTTATTAAATATATATAAAATATAATATGATTTATTAATATAATTAAATTAATTCTGTAGACATAATGATGGATTTATTATAGATATTCTTATTTAGGAAATAAAAAAAAAAACTTAGAATGTTTTATATCTGAATGCATTTCATCTTACTATATTTTTATTATTTATCTATTTTAACATCCCTTACCATCTGTTATATTAGAGTAAATATCAAACATAGTACAATAAAGAAAAAAACAATACAGTAATGATCTTTCAATCTTCATACTATTTGACTGTCGATGTTCTTGTATTCATTTACTATAGTTTTATATGTCATCTGTATACAATGTACGAAGCATACTTTTTTCTTCGATTAGGAGATTGTTACTACTTAACATGTATGTCGTTTTGTTGACATTATAATCATGACTATGAAGTGAACTTTTGAAATTCTTCGTACATTGTGAATAAATATGGGTGTCGGCAATTCAACGAAAAGTTATTTCTGTTTTATTTATTCATCTTTTTAAACTCTATATGTTCTGAACATTGTTTTTTTTTTACAATTTTTTACGAAAATGAAGATGATGTGTAGTTATAAATAAATAAAAAGTACAAGCATAAAAGCATTTTATACTAATATTAATTTACTGAGTGACTTTCAAATAAAAAAAATTTTATTTAGGAAAGTCAAAAATCATATTAAAAATAACTTGTTCAAAAAGAATATCATTTAGATTATTAGTCCATAAACGTGAATATAGCAACATGTGAATTCTATTTGATCTTGTAAACAATAGATAAGCATAATGAATACACTGCATGAATTTTAACACATGTGAGAAAGCGTCACCACCATTAGCCTAAAGATAAATGTTTAGATCATATAAGTGTAAACCTACGAAGCACTTTTTATTTTTTTTTTACGTCAAAATTCATTCATTTGGTTATGTATATCGATACGTGTTTGACATCATTAATGACATGAATCTTCTGTATAAATTTAACTGATCTCAATGGTCAAGGTTAGACAAGTCAATTTTTCAGAATAAAGAATATATTCTATTGCTAATTATTTTAAATTTTTACTCGTCGCATAATCTCTCAGTTGATGTATACAGCTCAATTTTTCTTATTGTATTTCTATAGATATATGAACTTTTTTCTTTCACAATATAAGAGAATTTTTTAAAATTTAATCAAAATAACAGATGAATAAAAGAAAGAAAAACTGAACTAAATAATAAAAATTCTTAATCATAATTTTAAGAAGATTCCACTTTTTAAGCTCAAAATGATAAGAAATCTTTCTACAATAAAATCTTCTTTAAATGAATGCCGTCGGGACTTTTGAAAAGTGTTCAATATTGAGAGATATCATATATTTTACTATGAAATGAGAAAAGTTTTAGAATACAAGCTTCTTTACTAGTTTGAAATAATCAAAGATCATTTTCTGTGTTGTTTATTTTCTTCCATTTGAATATTTATGAATCCAAAAAATTTTAACAGAAATCAAAACTTTAATTTATTTCATTAAGTTCAGTATTATGATTTCGATCTTGATATGTGTGAATTTGATGAACGTTGCTGTACACCTCATTAACTTTTATTAAGTCAAAATTTTTGAATTTTCCTTTGATAATCAATTAAAATATTAATTCTTTTCTTCGTTTTAAAATATCGAATACAGAACTAAGTGAAATATTCAAATTTTTAGCTAAATCACATTATGATGAACCATTACTATTGTTGTAATCATTAATTAATTGTATTTTTTCATTTAATTTAAGATGATATTGTGATGTTATTACTTTTTTCTGATACGTACAGTTATAACAGATAATGAACAATAGCTTTAGTGTGTTAGGCAGAAATGATAAAACGAAAGACAGAGAGAAAAAATTGCACATTTGTTCATTTTAAAAAATTGTAAAAACAATGTATTTTATTTTGTTTTTATTTAATTTTCAAAAAGTTTATGCAAGAATAAATTGACTTGTGACACTGTATAAACTATTACTAATTACAGATAAAGAATCTTCATTTATATTTTCATTTTGATAATTAGATTTACATTGTTTATCATTGTATAATGACAATTCACCTTCACGAATAACTGAATCAAATGATTGAAAAAGAGACATTATTGAACTATTTGTAATTATCTGTTAAAGGAAAAAAACTAAGAATAATCTCAATTAAATAAAAATAAATAAACAAACTTTAGGTTGTTGTTTATTAATATTTAATGGATAAATAGATGTAGAATTAGTTCTATTAATATTTAATTGAGAACGAGCATGATTAATTTCTGTTGACATATCTTCTACAACAGTATCGACTAATGTATCAAAATTATTTTTGTCATTATGACTTGCTATAAAAAAAAATATAAATTATAAAAGACTAACCGATGGATCGAAAGTTTTGAGACAAAATCTTTTTTTTATTTTTGACTACATTGAAAATATTTTCGAGGAGTCAAAAGCTGCGGGCTATGACTAGAACTTTATGTTCTCTCTGAATATCGACTTAAAAATTTTCTTGAGACTAATGAAATGATCTACAGTTAAACGAAAGCAAATGTATATATTACTGTTCCATTTTATCGAATCGAATTAATTAAGAACACAGTTTTCTTCTTATTGGTGTTTAACCTCATTTATTTTTACTTTTATTTAACTTTCGTCGCAATAAACATCGGTCAAAAAAAAAATATCACGACTCCCGATAAGGTAGGAAGAATGACACCCCAATCAAAAAACTTGGTAACGTCAGACACTACTTTTGACTTCTCGGATAACAGTTCCAAGAGAGCTAAAAAAGTGAACAAATATTTTGTCTCAAAACTTTCATTTCATTCGTTATTTAACAAATTTTTAAATAACTTTTGAGAAAAAAAAATATTTAAATATTTTGCATATATTCTCTACCATTTTGTTGTTGTTGTTGAATATCATCGAATGAAATAATAATTCGACTTTTACGAACTCGAAATATTCGTTGTTTTAAATGATTTAATGTTTTATTCCAAATATAATTAAATGATTCTTTATTATTAAGTAATTTTTCTGCTAGTTTTTGTCGTTCTTTAATTATATTATATTGATATTGTTTTAGATTATTAGTAGAATTCATTGATAATGGTATATGTGAAATAGAATGAGATAAATCAATTTTCTTTTGTCTTATATTCGTAGCATTGAGAGATGAAGAGTGAAAAGTTGCTGGAATATTTGTTAAAGTAAAATTTGGTCGATGATGAAAATGAGATAATAATGTTTGTTTAAATGATGAATGTTGATCATCAGATCGAGCAATTGGAAGATCAGATTGAGTAATAATATTAGGAAAATGATCAGGTTTTGATGAATAATAAATCCAATCTAATGGTTCATTATTGTAGATAAGTGAATCATGCTAATTAAATAAAATTTTTCAATAAAATATTTGAATGAGAAAAGGGAAAGGGGTCGATAAATGTTGAAAATGACCTTCTCGAGAAATTTGATTTATTCGATGTCAAACTACTAGACACGGTGTTCGATAGTGAACCCTGGTAGAATTACTCATATAGCACTTATTTATGCTATGGACAAGTCGATTGAAATGGTCAATGACCGTCACATATGCATTGAACCTGACTGTTAATTATAATATTCACTTTTTGAGCACTTCAAAATGGTATATAAACATTGAGAAAAGAACACACCGGCCACGCAAAGAAATCTCAAGAAGACTACTGACGAGACATGTTTTGTTTGCCTAATATTTTGTATATTTCGATTAGAAAAATACAATTTCGATAAAAACTAATATGATATTCTGAATCAGCATCCAAAACTACGTGGATTTACATGTATTTAAAAAAAATTTTTCACAACCATTGTTCTTTGTCGAAAAGGTCATCCTTGATTTCCTTCAGGATTAAATGAAAAACAGGAACTTCATGAAAGCTCTGTTTTTACTGCTTATTCACATCTGTTATTTGGAGTTCTTATCGTTTTATAACCTTAAAACTCTACTCCTACTGTCAAAATAGGTTTTGGATGAAATTCAATTGTTGGTAGCCCAACCCTGAGAGGAACCACCAGTGATAAACTTTTCAACGAAAAAAAAAGGTTGAGAAAATTTTTTGAACTACATGTAAGTGTACCCAGTTTTGGGTGTCGATTCAAAATGTCATATTAGTTTTTAGTCAAATTGTATTGTTCTAATCGAAATCTACTCAATATCAGGCAAAAAAAAAGATCATAAAATCGTGTCTCAACAATAGTCTTCTTAGAATTTCTTGGTATGACTAGTGTTTTTTCTTCGATGTTTTTATACTATTTCAAAGCGCTCGAAAAGTACTATCGAACCATATAAAAAATAACTTAGTTGGAGATAAGATTGGTTGACGTTGACATAGGTTTTCAGTCGGCAACACTAGTATTCAAGGTATATTAGAGCAATGTGCTCTATGCAAAGTCATATCGGACAGACCATTGACTGTTTCAATCAGCCGCAACACAGCACAAACAAGTATTACAAGTTTTATTCTAACAGAGATCACTCTCGAACAACTTGGGTTAGAGTTTGACATGACAGAAATCATATTCCTGTACGAGGCTGATTTTATCTCGACTTTCCTCTTTTTACTTTTAAAAGTAAATCATTTTTAGATTTTCGTTCATTTCTCGTGGGAATATTTTCAAATTGTTCATTTGTAGTTATGATATATTGTGATGTTTTGATATCATTATTATATGATTTTTCGATTTCTTCATCATCATTATTAATGTTAATTACAGTTGCATTTGTTGGTATACGTGGCATACTAGAATTCATAACAAATGAAGTTTGTAGAGTAACACATTTAGGTTCTTGATGTTGTGTTTTTATCAAATTATCAATTTTTAATATAGATGATCGTTTTGATTTATTTCCTTCTGATTGTCGATAATCATCATTGAATATCGATGGAGAAGATTTTTGTTTTTTATTATGTTGAATAGATTTAATTAATTCATTTGAAGAATCTTTTTTGAATTGTTCTAACAAAAGAATTCTTATAAAAAAAAATGAATATGTAATTATTTCGTCATACTTAATATATTCATATTTTTATTAATTCTCATTGATATAATTGTTTGAATAAGATTTTCTGTAGCTAATTTAAGAATATTTTTTTCTTCAATCGATAAATTTGATATTTGTTCAATTGTTTGTTTATTTGAATATTGTTTTAATTGTAAAATATCTTCATGTAAAATTTCAATCATTTGACGAATACCTTTTGTTTGTTCAATAATATTATTAAGAATTTTAGTTTCATTTGATATTTCTAGACATAAAATATTTAATAATGAAAATTTTCAAAATAAAATTTTTACCATCTATAGTAAATTTATTAGGTATAAATGATGTTTGAGAAGTATCAAAAAATATTTGAGATTCTATTATCATTTGATTTTCAGATTTCTGTTCAATTGATTTGTTAGAATTTAAAATTTCAAAAATTTTCATTGAATTTTGTATTTGATCTTTATTGTAAGGATTAATTATATTGTTCATAATTGTATGTATTGGTCCATAATAACCTTGAATAATTTAAATAAAGGATTTCATTTATCTTAATTGTTTTAGTTTTACCAGGTTGTGAAATTGAAATATTAGATTGATTATTAAACTGAGAAATATCTGATGAATATTCAATTTGATTTTGAATATTTTCAACTGTAAGAATAAAAGTTTGTTTATTTTTTTTTATATTTGACTACTTATATTTAAATTCATAATTTAATAAAAAAAAAGAAGAAAAAAAGTTTTAATTTAATACTCAAAATTTGAAAAATGATTATTATTTTGATGAAAAACAAGAACAAAAAATCGTACTAAGTAGTTTTTTCGTTGTTGATTGTTTTTTTTCGTTATTAAAATTTCTTTTTGATTTTTCAATTATGTTATTGTTTATACCATCATAATCTAAGATAAATTTAATTAACACAAAAAAAAAAAAAAATAACAAGATATAAATAGAGAGAAAGATACTATTTGCTTTAGAAAAATCATTGTTTGATTTTGTACTAATATCAAGATCTTCAAAGAAATAATAAAGTTATTTGAGAAACATGGATTGTTTTTTGTTTTACTTGAATTTGATAATGTTGCAGTTAAAAAACTATGTTGATCATTATTGAATTTTTCATTCTCTTCATAATGAATAATCTGGAAATAAATATTCAAAATTTCGATTAAAATATTTCTGTTTAAACGAACATTATTATCTTGAATAGGATTATTATTAAGACTTTGTTTATTAATTGAACAAGTATAGTTAACTATCTGTGTTTGTTTATTATCAATAGAAGTTTTCGAATTTATCCATTGTTTTTGATAAAATTCTTTAAATATATGAAAAATTGAAAGTTTTGTACATATCCAATAAATAATAAAAAGAATTAAAAATATTATAATGCATAATTTAATTGTATTAAATAAAAAAAATGTTAATAAACAAATAATAATCCATGTTAAAATCTCTTCAAATGATATTGAACATGAACAACAACAACAAAAACGATATGATGATGTTAGTTCTTGTGTATGACAATAATAACAATAATGTTGACATATTGAATTTTTTCTATTATTCATCGTTTTTTAATCATTTTTCTTTTCAATATGAACATGACAATAAAAAACAAAAAATAATTTGTAATTAAAATTTTAAAAAAAAGTTAATATTTCTTCTACAACATCGATCGTATATAACAAATGATTGCATATTACACGCGCGTAAATTTTACTTTTCATATTTTGACTAAATATAATTATTTTTGTTGTTTATTCAAATGTGTAACCATCAAAGATAAATCTTCAATAAATTTCCTTTTAACATTGTTTGGAATGTTTTTCTGTATCTTTCGAATCATAATACAATAAATTATAACGAATTAAAATTTATCGTATAGCTGTTAAACGATTTAAATATTTCATTTTAAGTTATAGCAATCGAAAAATTAAATATAAATACATGTGTTATTCATACCAGAGATGGACTTGTTCCATGTCTGATCGAATTTTCTAACGAACAGAATAATTCTTAAATTATTCTATTTTCATTTATGAGAGAATACTTTCGATTTCAGTTGTTTCTTTTTTTTTTCTTTATTTAAATCTATTGATGTATAGAATTATGGATGAATATTTAAAACTATTCATTTGTCTCTATTGTCTTTTTTTTAATTTATTTCAAGGATGGTATAAAGCAAAGTTTATCATAAAAAAAAGAGAGCGAGAGAGAGAAGATAAATAATGATGGAGTTGTTTTTCTTCTTTGTTTTTGGAAGGTGACAAAAACAAGTCTAGGACTAACAAGACCAATATTCTACTGGTGAACTATAATGAAATTGGGACAAATAGAAAAAAATGAACAGAAAAGATCACCTAAATACTTTTTATGTGTAAGGGAAGTAGATAATTGATAGAAAAAAGAGAAAACAATGTTCTAGAAGGCGAATAGTAACATGAAAGCCATCATCAGACAGAAGAGACCCATAGCCTCGGACAGGGCAAAACCCAAAATGGCGTATGAGAAGAGTTGTTGTTTTAAACTTGGATTTCTTGCATAGGCGACAACGAGTGAACCGAATACTGTACCAATACCTAAGAGAAAACAAAAACACAAATCATACTTATAATCTAAAACAAATTCAACTAACCTGCACCAGCACCTGCTACACCAACAGTTGCAGCACCAGCTCCGATATATTTAGCTGCTGAATCAATATCACGACGAATAGGTGTAGTAGCAATTGATCGTTGTTGTGCAGCGGACGGAATAATCATTGAAGGTAAATATTGTTGAATAAGACCAGCATTACGATTAATTAATAAACGACATAATGCCGTTGATGATGTTAATGAAAAGCGTGTTAATGATGCCATTCGATTTTGTTTTTATTAAATTAGCTTGGTTGCCTATATAAATCTAGAACAAAATATTCAAAATTAAACGAACGAAGTCTCTTATTTTGTTTTGTTGTTGATTTTTCTTGTTTCTTCAACAATACAAATGGCAACCATCTTGAAAGATAGAATTCTTAACCACTATAATAAACTTTTTTTTTCATAACAACAAATAGAAAAATACGAATTAATTAATGTATTATTCAAATTAAAAGTATATTCATTGAGTTTATTCAAAACTTTTATTTTATTATTCTTTTTTTATTTGATAATGTTAATGCGAACATATGTTAGAGGACGCCAGTTGTTGACAATATTGAATTGTGACTACATATATAATTTCTTAAAATGATCGTTTAGGATTCTCTCTTTGAATTAGAGAATAAATTGCATGTATCTCAAAGTTTTAGACTCAGACTCACGTATATTATTTATTTTGCAAATACTTTTCCTATGATTTTGTTAACATGATTCATGTATATCTATTTATTTATCGTTCTTATCGGACATTCCAATTTAGGTCAAAACTTAACCTTGAATACAATTTTCAGATCAATTATACATGCTTTTTTTCCGTTTTTCTTCTTTCCTTAACTTGTTTATCATGAGCGAAAGGGTTATTCATGTGAAATCGTTTATACCAAAACTAATTCATATATACTATAGATGTAGTCTTTTACTAACCATATCATATAACTTCAGATCTCAAATCATTCATGACTGTTTCTATTTTATACCGTACGATATTATTTTATACCTGATTTGAATCTTCACGTATGAATTTATCGTAATAGAATGAGATTCTCAAAGACAAATGATTTATATTCCAACAGGTTATATTTTTATTATAGAAATGTGTAGTAAGTAAATATTGATTTCTGTTGATGAGTTCAATGGAATATTTAAAAGTATGTGCGCTATGGATTTTATAGAAATATTTGAAATGAAACGTTGTTTAGAAATAGTTTTATATTGCTAATACTGATGATCGTCGTTAGTATCAATATAAAATTAATGAAAGAAGATTTTCAAAGTACCGATAGTATTTTAACGGCATATGAAAGTTTACGTTATTGCACTTGAAGTTTCATATTATCAGCCAATAGTGATCATTTATAAGTGACTGGTATTTCGAATAGTCATGTTGATTTGCTTAATTAGATAGATCAAAGAATGAAACATTTGTATGGAGTTTACATAATTCAGTTTAAATTGATTTTCATCCTAAAACAAATATGTAATAAGATGATTTGTATGAATGACTATGTTGTCGTTTTACATGTGGCTCAAATGAACGTACATAAGACATTTTTTTTCAATGAGATTCTTGGTATATGATTTTGGGAAAAACAATTTCCAAAATTTTATCAAAATGAAACATTTGTTACTTTTTATACTTCATTTAGAGAGATTATATTTGTCTAAAAAAGATATCATAAAAAAATTTCTTAAAGAATTTTCGATGGATTTCAAATGTCAAACAATATCTAGTAGACTTGAAATGAAAGATGAAAACTTATTATTTAATGATGATACAGGATGTTCCAAAAGTCGTGTGCACTTAAGAATTGCATATAACTCAGTTTTTTTAATCAAGCTTAATCTAATAATTTTGTTTTTATTTGAAAGAGAACAGCAGTAAGTTTTTTTTTTCATATAAAGACAAAGTTCATAAATATTCTTCAAAAGTAATACATTTGATTGCAATACAAAAAATTAACATGTTTTACAATTAAAAAAAAATCATGAAGTGTTTTATTTTTATTATAATCGATTTCTATAGTTATTCGAGCCTTTGAATCAAAGAGATTTTTTACGATTATATTGTAGACATTTGGTTTGAGAGAGAGACTCATAGATACAAGTCCAATGATGTGACATTTAGTGATCAAGAGATCCTTGATGTTTGTCCAAATTTTCTGACTCACCTGCCATAGAAGATTTTGTTCAGTCACACACGAACCGATTTGAAGAAATGGGCTAATGTTCTATCTTGCTAAAAAATGATGGAATTACTCAACTGTTTCATCTGTAAACTCAGATAAAAGGAATTCCGAAGCATTGTGAAATAATTCTCTTGGATTAGTGTTTGATCATTGATAGTAGGTCGGAAGAGGTGAATCAATATCATGAGCCCTTCGATAATTAAACTTTACATCATTGAACTTCTATCTATGAGTCTGTCTCTCAAACCAAATGTCTACAATATAATCGTAAAAAATCTCTTTGATTCAAAGACTCGAATAACTATAGAAATCGATTATAATAAAAATAAAACACTCCATGATTTTCTTTTTAATTGTAAAACATGTTAATTTTTTGTATTGAAATCAAATGTATTACTTTTGAAGAATATTTATGAACTTTGTCTTTATATGAAAAAAAAAACTTACTACTCTTCTCTTTCAAATAAAAAAGAAATTATTAGATTAAGCTTGATTAATAACTGAGTTATACGCAATTCTTAAGTGGACACGACTTTTGGGACACTCTGTATTTCGGAGGAGAATCGAAGATTATGTCAATTGTTGTAAATGTGAAGATAATTATGATTTAATATCACATAATTGTTATTTTTAATTTTGTAGAATTGTATTTTGAGATTTTGAAAATAATAAAAATCGTGATCTTGAATATGTAATTAACATTTGTTCATTTACAAGTCAATGTTTATTCTATCAGAATAGATTTATTTTTATCCTTGATTTGTCATGATAAATTTACATGAAAAGACCTTGAAAGCTTTATTTCAGACATCAAATAGATAAATATAAATCCTTCTATTGTCTGTTACGATTATTATTTAAACATTCCAAAATATTCATTATATATAGAGAAGTTCTTTTCTTTTTTAACCTTCAAATGTATTTCTTTTAACACTTCTATCATCATCATTTTCTTGTTCATTTGTCGATCAATTCTTTCATCACTAACATTCAGCTGTCATTAACTTAACGCAAAAAAAGGTAAAGTGTCAATAGTAATAATGTTAATGATGATGATACATTTGCAATGTGACGAACAGAATACCATGCATGTGGGATATTTGATCCTTGGAAGATGGAAAAAATTTTGTAACTATCTATTTAAGTTGTGTAATACATTCCCCCTTGTTCATACATTTTTTTTAATGCACTTTCTTTATGTCACAGGAGACAATCGTATCAATATCATTCCTTTTTTGTTTTAATCATTATGAGAGAAGAATTATACGTAATAGATCATGAATGAAATGCTAAAAATGTTCGATGTGTGATCATATATATATATATATACATGTATGAAGTAACAGTATTGAATGAACGAAAGAAGAAGAAAAAAAAAGACACATTTTGATAATAATAAAAAAAAAGAGCAACATCATATAGTATCAAAATATTCATGCAAATAAATCAGTATATATAGAGCAGTCTTCGTAATTATACGACAATAATATGCTTCCAATGATCAATCAGCAGGTAAATAGAAGAAAAAACTATTTCAAGTGTATATATATATATAGACCATATAATATGGAAGAAGAGTGAAGGAAGAGAATTATTAAATCAGCAAATGTGTATGTAATCAAAGAGTAGTATAAGCATAGCTGAGCACGTCCAGACAAACACAGCGGGTGGCGAAACGAAGGCTACTAATGAAGGGACCAATACTATTCTTTGAATCAAGCATAAAAAAAGGAAAATGCCTCTGGTAAAATCATGAACATTAATGAATTGTTTAGTAGCCTGACAGAAAAAAGAAAATGCTAGTGAAGTAACATGATGAGATTATGCGATTGTTGTTACGTTACATATATACAATTATGAATGTTGTTATCAAACTTGATATAAATAAGAAGGTTAAATTAGAAACAACTATAAACAAATCATTTGACCTACAACTTTTTTTTCCTTTTCTTTTTTTTAGGTTTGTTCATTTATTTAGTTGTTTGTAATTGATCAGACATAAATCGTGTGTAAATTCATTCATTCAGTTTCATATGATTAAATTAAACACTATGTATATATATACATATCTCAATATCATTTCAAGTGTAACATTGTATCTGAATAAATAGAAATAACCTAGTAGATTCTTTTTTGTTTTCGATTGATTATATCTAGTGATACAAATAAAATAGTATTGTAAAAATATAATTGTCTCTTTCCTTATATTTAAATAGACGAACAAATTTCCTGCAACAAATACTTGATATCCTTTTTCTTTCTTTCTTTCTTTCGTCTGTTTTTTTTGTCACCACAATTGAACACTCTACAGTTGTGTGGCATGTTGACTCACACACACACCCTATGGTATATTCATAGTAATAGTAATGGTCATCTTCTTCTACAACAATTAAGAGAAAGAGAAAGAGGACGAAGTGTAATAACAAACATACGCACATATTGTCTTCATTGGTCGACAATTGTATTTATTATTATTCAAGAACTTTTTATATTCATGCGCACGATATTCTTTTTTCCTTCTTTTTTTTTTAAACTTATTTTAAAGCACGCAATCTATTGAACAGTTTCATTTACTATTCTATGTTCTATTCTAGACTATGTCATATTGTCAACTAAATTCATAACTAAATGAACATCAGCATATTGCATTGATTACCATTTTTGATCGGAATTGATTATCTTTCTCTTTCTTTCCATTAGAAAATGCCAACTATATTATCATCCGATCGCTATTCAGCAGTTTCATCATCATCTACTTCTTCTACTTCATCAAACAGTTGCTACAATAATAATAATAATAATAATAATTACAATAATAACAATAAGAGTTCTTTATCTCAATCATCTCGTTCATCATCAACATTTCTACCACTACGTTCTGCAAAATCATCATTTCACTTGTCAAAATCAAACAATACAAATTATCATTCTATGCAATCACTTAAAATTCAACAACAATATAAAACAAATCATACACCTGTTGCACGTATAACACCACTTGTTATTAATCAACAATTATCATCAAATGAAATTTCTAAACAACATGATAAAGATGAAGGTTGGATTAGTTGTGAAGAACTTGAAACAATTGAAAAACGTTTTACTGATTTATTAAAAGAACCAAAATATAAAAAACCAATTATTTTAAATAATTATCAACAACAAGAACAACGTGCAAAAAGTTGTGAACGATTAGCAGTAGATGATGAAGATTTTAAACTAACAACTTTATCTAGTAAGTTTAACTTGAAAGTTTATTGTCAAAGAAAAAGAAAAAAGAAACTTCTTTATTATTTAGTTCCTCAGAAATCATTAATTAGTAAAATGAAAGATGAAGATTTACATAATCATTCACCATTACCAGCTTCAATAATCTATGATAATAATACTCGTCCTCGTTCGCAAATTCCTCATCAATTTATTTCATCATCTACTCGAACAGTTCTATCTGCAAACGATATTCTTAAAGTCGAATCATCTTATCGAAGTATTGGTACACAAGTATTTGCTTGTCGTTGTTTATGTGATTTATATATAACAACAACTGATCGTTTAGCTAAACTTGAAGATTGGATATTATTTCAACATGGTTTACCTGTATGGTTATTTAATTCAGGTACAAATCCAAAACGTCAATCACGTTTATCTTTAATTATTGCTGAATTTGGATCTGGTTTTCCAATATGGCAAGATACAATAAATGGATTTAGTGATGTTAAACAAGCTCGTGCACAACATATAACATTTCGTTTATCTGATCAAATAACACTTGCTGTACTTCGTTTTAATGATTTATTAGCATCAAAAGATTTTTATTCGTTTTATCAATCAATACGAAATGATAAACGTTATGAAAATTTATTTTCAACAATTATATCAAATAGACATCATAGAAGTTCATCATGTGGTACAATATTAAGAAAAAATCGAAAAAATCAAAATATTAATAAATCATCAATATCAAATCCATGTCAATTTCAACATATAACTTGTTTACAAGTTAAAGATCGTGTTCGTTTAATATCACTTGATCAATGTTTAATACCTTCACAGAATTATTCAAATCAGCATATTTAAAAGGAATAAAAATAAAAAGTCAAATGAATTCAGACAAATAATAAAAATGTTCTATTGTTTGATTTTTAATGTTGTTTTCTTTTCATCATATATAAATATGAACAGTATAAAGTGGAAAGACAAGCAATTGATTGAATTTGTTGTTATGAAAAGAAAACAGAAAAAAAAACAAAATTCAAATTAATTATCTACGTCAATTGTTTTGATATTGAAACCTTGTATTATTTTTGATTAATCAAGATTTTATTGAATAACATTCGAATTCAATGAGTAGCAAAGGAGAAGAATTTTTATATAGAGATATATGATTCATTTGCAGCTTGTCCTCTTTGCCGTTATTTTTGTTTTGACTTGAAACGAGAAGTATCCTATAACTAAGGAATTGCAATTGTTTATCAATCTTCTTGAAGTTTTTCTAGTTTGTAAGATAAAATAAGAGATTATTTGTGAGTTTTCGTACTTACATATACTGAATGGTCCATAAAATATTCAATAACTTAAGTCTGCTTTGATTAATCAGGCTTGTGCTTTTTCTTGGTGATAGAAGATTTGTCAAAATTTTTATTCACAAGGAAACCATCAATGGCTACTTATGTCAACTAGCACTATTGACTTCAATTAAAGAAATACACTACTGATCGAGAGTATTCCACTATAGTCTTAATTGTTAGTTAGATAACATATCTTGCATTTTTATCGTATGTACTACCTTAGAAATATAACTCAACGAAATCAGACTAGTCTCAATCACTAGAGTTGAAAATGAATTATGATATATGATACTTCTTCTCACTATAAGTTCTATAACTCAGGAAAGGACAGGTTTTATGACCTCATCAACCTATCATTATGTAAAAATATCTGCAGTTTGTAAACACTTAGATGAAATCTATTGCGTAAATAGCCGCATTAAAGGACGATATGATAATACGTTCGCCGACTTATAAGCTTCTTTCTTTCTTGAGTTATAGAACTCACAGTGAGAGCGACTACCATAGATTATAATTCTTTCTCAACTCAAGCGAACAGGATAGAATTGATGTTACGGATCTACATTTCTAAGATAGTATATATACGTTAGAAATTTCACATGCCTAGCCTTTAGAATAGCTGAGATAGGAGGGTGAGATACTTTTAACCAATAGTGTACTTCCTTATTGAGATCAATAGTGCTAATTCTATACAGTACCTATTTGACAGTTTTCTTATGAATAAAAACTTTGACGAGTCCCTTATCATCGAAAAAAAAATTCAGTTCGATTGATTAAAGCAAACTGGGGATATTGAGTTCTTTTATCATTTAATTATTCATCTGCCATACTACAGATTCATAAAGTTTGTGGCACTAGAAAAGTTTTAAACAAATAAAAACAAAACGTATTTACTTTGTTATCAAATAATATAGAACTGAAAGAGTATTGATAGATCAACCCGTGGTTATCCAAAACACTATTATAACTCCTTTTCGATAGTTTTGGTATTCGCATTTTACCATTTTCCGATTTTGGTTATGTTTACTTTCTAAAATATTTTCGAAGCAGATACCAGTATGAAATCAAATACTATTGATTTTAACAAACTTTATAATAATTCAATAAGTTGACCTTTAAGTTAAAAGAACTATCAACAAGAAACATTTTTACCGTACACTAGTGTCATTTTATCAGTTTTTAAATCGTTGCCAAATATATGATTGGTTAAAAAAATTGTGCAATAATGTTTTATTTTTAAATGTGTTTACACCGAAAATTTCAGTTTGATTTTAATCTTATATTTAACAGTTTGTTTATTTCTATAAATCAGGTAGCATTGTGTAAATATTTATAGCCAAAGAGATAGATGATAATAATAATCTGGAAAATGAATATGGTCATGAATCTATTCAATAGTTAGTTCCAGAGGTATCTTCATTATTAGACAAGACTTGATACGAATATTAGATTTCTTTTTTTTCTGAAGTTTATAAGTCTAAGTTACTTGAGATTACATTCGAAAATCATCTGTATTGAACGATAGTAATATAAAATAGGAGGATTCATAAATTATCAGCTATATAGAATAAAGTATCTATTGTTAATCTCATTTAATTTTTGACAGTAAATTTTTTATGTATCCATATATTTCTTCAGTTGAACAAGTCAATTGATTTTATCATACATAGTAAAGTATAGAATTTTTCTTAATTATTTAGATTTGTAATATATGGTTATTTGAAGTATTCAGACTATCTGAG